TTTGATCCTGGGTAGCACACGGGAGGTGCTGGTGTTGATGGATATGATGTTGGAGGTGGTGATGGTCTTGGACACCGTGGGTCATTTGATCCTGGGTAGCACACGGGAGGTGCTGGTGTTGATGGATATGAAGTTGATGGTGGTGACGGTTTCGGACACCGTGGATCGTTTGATCCTGGATAACAAATAGGTGCAGGGGATGTTGTCGGTGCAGATGGTTTTGGACACCTTGGATCATTTGATCCTGGATAGCACACTGGAGGTGCTGGTGTTGATGGATATGATGTTGGTGGTGGTGATGGCTTCGGACACCGTGGATCGTTTGATCCTGCGTAGCACACTGGAGGTGCTGGTGTTGATGGATATGATGTTGGAGGTGGTGATGGTCTTGGACACCGTGGGTCATTTGATCCTGGGTAGCACACGGGAGGTGCTGGTGTTGATGGATATGATGTTGGAGGTGGTGATGGTCTTGGACACCGTGGATCGTTTGATCCTGGATAACAAATAGGTGCAGGGGATGTTGTCGGTACAGATGGTTTTGGACACCTTGGGTCGTTTGATCCTGGGTAGCACACGGGAGGTGCTGATGTTGATGGATATGATGTTGGTGGTGGTGATGGTCTTGGACACCTTGGATCATTTGATCCTGGGTAGCACACTGGAGGAGCTGGTGTTGATGGCACTGGGTAAGATGGTAGTGCTGATTGACATCTTTCTTCTGGGCAACTTCCCAAACACAACTTTAATACATTTATATATATTATGTGTTATTAATTAGGTATTTTATTTTAATATTCATAATTCTTAATTGAAAATCGTTATTTACTTCGACATTGCACGACAGGAACACTTGATGCTTGTCCGGGAATTTGAATGCTGTGACATTAGTGTACCCAATTGTAGTTATACCACCTTGGTCAATAGTTTGAGTTTTTTTCCAATAGGATATTAATTTTTTTCTCCTTCAAAAATAAAGTTCCATAGATAAATAAAATATAACTTTAATTTTAATCCTTTCTTAGAAATTATTTATTAATAAATACTTTTATGCATTCCTCATTTTTTGAGACTTACTTTGGGCATCCCGAAGCGTCAGTTAATTGTATGCTTGTAGTAGTCGGTGATTCATAGTTATCATTATCGTATGCCCAACATTCTCTTACCCTTACGTCATACGGTTCATCTGTACTTTTAACATACACTAGTAAAGATAGTGGCTCGCCAATTTTAATTATCTTATCAACTGGCGACGTCTAAAACGTTATCAATGTCAATATCAGGTGTTTTTCTTTCTGTGTTCGATAATTAAATGTAAATATAATGTAAAAATCATTTAACACTCACATTTGGATATTGCCCTCTTTGTATGTCCATCCAACACTGCAATGTCCCTTGGTTTTCAGAAGGAACAGAAACAACTTCCAGCATATCAACTACGATCGGTTTGAATCTCACTGGTTTGCCCGTTCCTTGTTTCGGTTCGATAGGACATGATACTTTTCGTGCTAAATCCCATGCTTCCTATAATCAATATATATTCTACGTATAATTTGAAACAATAAATTAACAAATATTGTATTCTATCAAAACGCATTAGATTCTTATTGGTTTTGAAATATGGTTATGAACCTGAATTGCATCATCCGATTGGATAATAATTGTGTTCTCGATGGAGCTTAAATTACAACTACCACCATCTTCAGAAGAAGAGCATCCCTCATCTGCAGGAGGGCGACAATTTTCTACTGGTATTTGGAACTGATACAAATTGCTTCCTGAATTGCTCTGCACAAATCTATGAACAAATCAATATTTTTCTATTAAATTCCAAAATAGTCAATACGCATATTGATTTGTGTTCTTTACTCTGAGACTACAAATATTTTGTAGTATAAATAATTGTATATTTAAATACAATTATTTATAGTTAAGTTACTAAATGGATCATGTTATATTCGATTCAATTTGAACATTAGTTAAGTAATTTTTATTTTTTATTTTAACAATCTGTCACATTAGATGTAGAGACATAGTATTATTGAGACAGATATATATATATATATATCTCATAATTACTTATTCTTGGGTTTTCCTATTAATTGGTATAAGTATACATTATAATGAACAGCATAAGTATCTTTAAATTGTTTTTAATTAAAAAGCCTTAGCTTTCTCCAGTTGAATTAAAATCAATCAACTGGTTAGAAAAATTAATATAATTATATAATGTATATAACTAAATTCTTGAGAAAACATATTTATTAAAAATAATATTCAACCAAATGGCTAATTTATTATAATATAAAAAAATAACAGAATACAAAAATTATTTTGTTACAGGAAAACACCTAAATTCTCTATTTAATAATGAAATTAACATTTTTATTAATCTATTATATGTTCTGTGTATTA